GAAACATATACAAAGAGAAAATCTACAAAATAAGGAAAGTGGAGCTAAATGTTAATAATTAGAGAATCTGGATAAAGGATAAAAAGGAGTTCTTTCTACTAATAAATTTTCAAAATGTGTAAAATTATATCGATACAGTAGGTAGAAAGAAATTATTTAGGCAGATAGTAAGGGCAAAAGAGTCCTCGGCAGAGCTTCCCTTCTAACAAAAAGCAGACTCCAAAATCATTTCTTTTCTAACAAAGAGCAGCCTGAAAAACTGAACTGCAAACATAGATAAGCAAGCTGGAAGCCACAGAAAAGAGCTACCTGGGGGTCAGGCATGTCCACTATGAAAGCTCCACTTTCTCTTTTTTGTTAGCATGTATACAGTAAAAAATAAATGAGCAACATGGTATATATAGCTCAGGCAGAGAACCTGCCTCATAATAAAAGATTAGGGTGGGGGCTGCCAGATATTCATGCCCTGTGTAAATAGGCACATCTGGACTTACCCAGTTTTTCATGCCCTATGTGAATCAGACACAGCCTCGCCAGTAGCTCATCTATAAAACCCCCTGCATTTCACCACAGATCTGGCAACCCAATTTTTCCAGGACACCTCTCTGTAGCACAGAGCTATTCTCTTTCTCTCACCTATTAAGTTTCTGCTGCTAACCTCACTCTTTGTGTGTCCACATCCTTAATCTCTGTGACCGTGAGACAACGAACCTCAGGTACTACCCTAGACCAGGAGACCACTTCAATATCATACCATTTTTTTAAAAAAAGAAATTATAAATAGTATACACTGTAACTTCTTGGAATCGAGCCAAAGAAAATTTCACCATAAAAAAAATTAAAGGTAACATATATTTCACTTAAGTCCAGAAAATAATTTCACTTACATTTTATTTATTCTCTTTGTAAAAATAAGATATTCAAACTGACTTTAACATCTACTCTTAAACTGGTAAAAGTCTTAAAAGTTATATAGTAGGAGATATTTGTAATACACATATCTAATAAAACACTCAAATCCAAAATATATTTTTAAAAGTTTGGTCCCTGTTGGGTACGGTGGCTTATGCCTGTAATAGCACTTTGGGAGGCCAAAGCAGGCATAGCACAAGGTCAGGAACTCGACACCAGCCTGACCGACATGGTGAAACCCCATCTATACTAAAAACACAAAAATTAGCCAAGCATGGTGGTGCATGCCTGTAATCCCAGCTACTTGGGAGGCTGAGGCAAGAGAATCACTTGAACTCAGGAGACGAAGGTTGCAGTGAGCTGAGACCATGTCATTGGACCCCACTCAGGGTGACAGAGAGAAACTCCGTCTCAAAAAAAATCCTTTTTGTTAAAATTAGCTGGGCATGGTGGTGGTACGTGGCTATACCTGAGCAACTGAGGTGGGAGGATCACTGGAGCCCAGAAGGTCAGGGCTGCAGTGAGCCATGATGGTGCCATTGTACTCCAGCGCAGGTGACAGAGACCTCATCTCAAAAAATGAAATCTAAAAAGAACAAAAACTTTACAAATTTAAGGAAAAGGGCAACTTTGGATATTCAAATGGTCAATAATCACATGAAAAAATGCCGGGCGCGGTGGCTCACACCTGTAATCCCAGCACTTTGGGAGGCCGAGGTGGGTGGATCACGAGGTCAACAGATCGAGACCATCCTGGTCAACATGGTGAAACCCCGTCTCTACTAAAAATACAAAAAATCAGCTGGGCATGGTGGCGCATGCCTGTAATCCCAGCTATTCAGGAGGCTGAGGCAGGAGAATTGCCTGAACCCAGGAGGCAGAGGTTGCGGTGAGCCGAGATCACGCCATTGCACTCCAGCCTGGGTAACAAGAGCGAAACTCCGTCTCAAAAAAAAAAAAAAAAAAAAAAAATGCTCAATATCTTTTGCCATTAGGGAAATTCAAATTATGGCCACAACAAGATGCCACTATACACCCACCAGAAAGGATAAAATTAAAAAGACAATATATGTGTTTTGAAGGATGTGAAACAATCAGAACTCTCTCACACTGCTGGTGGTAGATAAAATTGGAAAAACCACTTTGGAAAAATATTTGGCATTATATACTTCTATGCATCTTTCATGAACCAGCAATTCTATATATATTTACCAATCAGAAATGTGCACCTATCTTCACCAAAAGTCACATATGTGAATGTTTGTAGAAACACTACTCATAATAGCTCTAAAAACCTGTTGATAGAATGGATAAATTGTGGCATATTCATACAATGAAATATTGTACAGCAATGAGATAAACTATTGCTATAAAAATATAGGTAAATTGCACAAATATAATACTGAGCAAAAGAACATATGTATCAAACATAAGAATATATACTGTATAGCACACTTATGTAAAACTCAAAAGGAAAGAACATCTGTAGTGTTAAAGTTAGGACAGATGTTATTTGGGGGAAAGTTTAAAAGAAGAAAACAGGATTATAGACTTTGTAATTGAAGTACCTCCTTCTATATTGCTGGAGACAGTATAAATGAGTATAAACTTTTGAAAAGCAATTCAGCAATCATACCACATTCATTGACCCACTAATTGCCCACTTAATAATCTACTGGCCAGCCTGTGTAGCAAAGCGAGACCCCCACACCTCTACAGAAAATTAAGAAATTAGCTGGGTGGGCCGGGTATGGTGGCTCACGCCTGTAATCCCAGCACTTTGGGAGGCTGAGGCAGGCAGATCACAAGGTCAGGAGTTTGATACAAGCCTGACCAACATGGGGAAACCCCGTCTCTATTAAAATTACAAAAAATCTGCAGGGCGTGGTGGTGGGCACTTATAATCCCTGCTACTCAGGAGGCTGAAGCAGGAGAACAGCTTGAACTCAGAGGGGAGGTTGCAGTGAGCCAAGATTGCACCACTACACTCCACCTGGGTGACAGAGCGAGACGCCATCTCAAAAAAAAAAAAAAAAATTAGCTGGATGAGGTGTCAGGCACCTATAGTTCCAGCTACTTGAGAGGCTGAGGTCAGAGTATGGCTTGAGCCCAGGAATTTGACATTACAGTGAGTTATGATCATGCCACAGCACTCCAGCCTAGGCAACAGAGCAAGACCTCATCATAAAAAAACAAAAAATCTACTGGAAGGAAATATCCAGAAAGTCAAAGAAAGACTTATGCACAAAAATATTTGCTAGTGTATTTTTATAATTTAAAAACAGAAAATAAATATACAACAGAAAAATGAGATTATGGTAAATTTATAACTATATCTTATAGCTACTAAAAAGTATGTTTTCAAATATTTAATGCTATAGAAATGTTTGGTATAAGATAAAAAGATAAAAAATTATACGCAGTATGATCCAATTCCACTTTTAAAGTAATATGAGTAAATAGGCCGGGTGTGGTGGCTCACACCTATAATCCCAGAACTTTGGGAGTCTGAGGCAGGCGGATCACTTGAAGTCAGAGGTTGGAGACCAGCCTGGCCAACATGGTGAAACCCTGTCTGTTCTAAGAATTCAAAAATTAGCTGGACGTGTGCTTATAATCCCAGCTACTTGGGAGGCTAAGGCAGGAGAATCGTTTGAATACAGGAGGTAGAAGTTGCAGTGAGCCGAGATTGTACCCCTGTACTCCAGCCTGGGCAATAGAGTGGGCCTCAGTCTCAAAAAATAAATAAAATAAAGCATATAAGTAAATAAATATACGAAGTATATGTATACACACATACATGCACACACATATATACAGGGGGGAAAAGGTAGGTTCAAAGGACATATACCAAGAAGGTCAATACCTTTTTTTTTTTAATCTTTTATTTATTTTTGAGATGGAGTCTCGCTCTGGCACCCAAGCTAGGGTGCAGTGGCATGATCTCGGCTCCCTGCAACCTCTGCCTCCTGGGTTCAAGCGATTCTCCTGCCTCAGCCTCCCGAGTAGCTGGGACTACAGATGCGTGCCAACATGCCTGGCTAATTTTTGTGTTTTTAGCAGAGACAGGGTTTCATCATGTTGGCCAGGCTGGTCTTGAACTCCTGACCTCAGGTGATCCATCAGCCTTAGCGTCCCAAAGTTCTGGGATTACAGGCATGAGCCACCACGTACGGCCCTATATCTTTATAAGCACACTCTAAGTAAATAATTGTATTACTCCAATGTTAAATGTATACTCATTATGAGAGGGGAGAACTATTGATTTTTAAAGGCATTAATTTCCATTCCAACCATTAATATCATTAAAGTTCACATTTATTAACAGTTCTTCAAATTGACATAATTCTTTACAATATTCCAAGACATTTAGCTTACTATAAAATTAAAGTTGACATCACTATGCCTTTTCAAATACATTTAATAAACAGAAAATACTGCTTTTTATTGTTAAATTCTAATGACAGTGGAAAGGGACCTATGATACGAAAAAGGCATTGAAAGTATTCCATGATATTGATACTTATAAGAAAATGATAAATTTGATTTATAAATCTCTTACCTTTGCAGTTAGAATCAGAAGGCAAAATGTCAGAACTGCTGGCATTTTTATAATTGCAAAAAGCAGCTTGTAAGTATCTGTGATCCCTTGTGTTTCTTCTTTTACTACTGATACTTCTTTGTTTTCTTTTTTCAGAAGGGCAACCAATGTTGTTGTTATTAAAAATATAGTTCCCCAGAAAAAAAGGAAATCTGAAAATGTTTTAAACCTATAATTAATTTTAAAATTACATAATAATTACAAAAAACTAAATAATTATATATACAATAATTCTCAGTTAAGATTTGTTATTTAAAAAATCAGCCAAGTACAGGGACTCATGCCTGTAATCCTAGCACTTTGGGAGGCCAAGGTGGGAGAATTATTTGAACCCAGAAATTGAAGACCAGCCTGGGCAATATAATGGGATCCTATCTCTACAAAAAAATTACAAAATTAGCCAGGCTTGGTGGTACACATCTGTAGGTGGGAGGACTACTTGAGCCCAGGAAGTGGAGGCTGCAGTGAGCTGTGATTGTACCACTGCACTCCAGCATGGGCAACAGAGACCTTGTCTTAAAAAAAAAAAAGGTTGGCCGGGCGCGGTGGCTCAAGCCTGTAATCCCAGCACTTTGGGAGGCCGAGGCGGGTGGATCACGAGGTCAAGAGATCGAGACCATCCTGGTCAACACGGTGAAACCCCGTCTCTACTAAAAATACAAAACATTAGCTGGGCATGGTGGTGCGTGCCTGTAATCCCAGCTACTCAGGAAGCTGAGGCAGAATTGCCTGAACCCAGGGGGCGGAGGTTGTGGTGAGCCGAGATCGCGCCATTGCACTCCAGCCTGGGTAACGAGCGAAACTCCGTCCCCCCCCAAAAAAAAAAAAAAAGGTCAACATTTAGGTACCTCTTTATTATATTCAAAGCATTAAACCAGGCACAGCAAATGAACAAAACAGTCTTGACTCTTAAACAGAGTGACCCAAAATAGTAACAACGATAAGAAAAGGCTGGGGGCGGGTGTGGGGGTACATTATATTTAGCGTACTACTGAGTTGAATGAAACAAAAGCCTATCACGTCACTTTATTCAAGAAAAGTGCTAGAGGTGGGAAATGATTTTCATATCCCATAAGATCCATCAGTTATTCTTACATGCCCAAGTCTTTTCAGTTCTTTATTAAATTTCACAACAGGTGATTATTTACATCAGATTTTCTACCTTATATTTTAAACTTTCTAATGTTTTCTATCTTTTCAAGAATAAACTTCTCATCTCAATACTACAATACAAAAGGAATTTGCTCAGACTCATAGGTGCAGAATGAGGACACATGATGAGTACTGTCTGGGTTGTTTCAGTGAGATAGTTGAGCCATTAGCTATCACCTTGAACAAATTTAGTAAAGGGAGAGAATAATGATCTGGGAGATTCGGCTAAACAGCTAAAACTAATAGTAATAATAGAAGTATCATTTATTGAGTGCATACCACATGACAAAAATATGCTAAGCATTTTACATGTATCAACTCCTTTACTTCAACAACCCAATAGATTAGCTTATCACCAGCCCAGATTTACAGGTGAACAAACAAACGCTTAGGGAAGTCAAGTTCTCCAAGTTACATTCTAAGTCTGTGATAAAATTGTGATTTCACACCTTATAAGTACAACTAATTTCAAAACCGGTATCTCATTAACCATCCTGAGAACTGCATTTTAGTTTGCCATTACAAAACTTATTAGATAACCCTGTCTCAGTTTCTTCATCTGTAAAATAAGAGGATTTGGCTAGAAAATCCTTGCATTCTGGCTCAAACATTCCAGCACTGTACTCCATTTTAGATGTTTTTACTTTTTATTAAATGGCTTATGTAGCACAACTGATCAAGGACCGTAGTCACCTATTCTCAAAAACAATTAAGAGCATTCTTCAGTCAGGGTTTTTCCTTAGATTGAATCTTGCTCTTGCTTCTGTGCTCACTAATGATGATCACTATAGTTTGAACCTCACTTATGAGGGAGAAATAGCATTATTTGTTTAGCTCAATTTCACCTTGGTATTTAAATATTCCTTTATCTCATTTGATTCTCATAGCAAACAGGATAGACTAAGTAGGTGTTATTACTATATAAAGATGAGGAAAAGAAGCTCAGAATACTTAAATCTTTACCAAAGGTAAAATTACTAAGAGGCAGAGGAGGAGGCAGAACTTGAATCTCAACCTCCTGAAGTTGAGTTTTATACTCTTTCCATAATTTTATACTGCCTACATAATGATATTTTTAAAATTAATGTTGAAATTAGAATCTACTAGAATTGGCTAATTATTTAATCTCCACAAGCCTAACCAAAAACCAAAAAGCAAGGCTTTGCTATTCAAATTATGCAAATTAAAGAAACTAAAACAGACCAGGTGTGGTGGCTCACGCTTATAATCCCAGCGCTTTGGGAGGCTGAGATGGGAGGATAGCTTGAGCATAGGAATTCAAGACCAAGATAGCAAGACCCTGTATCTACAAAACAAAAAGGAAAAACTTAAAAATTAGATGGGCATGATGGCGAGTACCTGCAGTCCCAGCTACTCAGGAAGCTGAGGCAAGAGCATGACTTGTGGTCAGGAGTTGGAGGTTACAGTAAACTCTGATGGCACCACTGAAATCCAGCCTAGGCAACAGAGCCAGACCTTAACCAATTAATTAACTAATTTGTTAATAAAGCTAAAACACTTTAAACATATATGGAAAATTGTATTCTAGGATGAATATTTTTCTGCACCATGGGAAATTTCTACTTAATTTTAGATATTCTAGGATTAAGATAGGCCAGGCGTGATGGTTCAAGCCTGTCATCCCAGCACTTCAGGAGGCTGAGGCGGGCAGATCACTTGAGGTCAGGAGACCAGTCTAGCCAACATGGCAAAACCCTGTCTCCATTAAAAATATAAACATTAGCTGGACGTGGTGGCGTGTACCTGTAATCCCAGCTACTTGGGAGGCTAAGGCAGGAGAATTGCTTGAACCCAGGAGGGGGAGGTTGCAGTGAGACAAGATTGTGCCACTGCACTCCAGCCTGGGGAACAGACCAAGACTCCATCTCAAAAAAAAAAAAAAAAAAAGAAGGAAAAAAACCAAAATTTTCTTAAATGTAAATATATCTATTTTAAAATACAGTAACATATAAAAGTCTATGATTAAACATCATCAAAATGGCATCTTGTTTTTTGTTTTGTCACCCAGGCTGGAGTGCAGTGGTTCGATCTGGGCTCACTGCAACCTCCACCACCTGGCTTCACGCAATCTCCTGCTTCAGCCCCCCAAGTAGCTGGGATTACAGGTGTGTGTGCCACCACACACAGCTAATTTTTGTATTTTCAGTAGAGACAGGGTTTCACCATGTTGGCAAAGCTAGTCTTAAACTCCTGACCTCATATGATCTGTCTGCTTTGGCCTCCCAAAGTGCTGAGATCATAGGTGTGAGATCACACCTTGCCTGACACAAAGTAACATAATTTCTAGCATTTTAGAATCTGGTTCAAAAGGAATGAACAACAATGTATTAATAACATTATCCTTATAAGTGAAGCTAATGTCCACTATTTTTGCATTCTTAATGCCATCTGCAAAATGAGGCGAATAATTAATTGTTTACAGTTTCACACACATTATTCTCATTGATCAAGCTTTTGTTCATCATTTGTTTTAAACAAGTTGTTTAACAAGCCCTGAAAAAAAAACTATTATTTTCACTGTGACCAGAAATTCCAATTAATGGTCTCAAGTGAAATTAATGGTCTCAATGTTAAGTGAAAAGTAAAAGTTTTCCAATTATATACAACTTAAGGAGTTCCATTTTTCTAAGCAAAAGAATTATAAATTTGTTTAGCATAGTGTCCCAATTTTAATGAACAAAGTTGATCTAAAATTTAAATCCCTTGATACCGACACGAAGGGAAAAAAGAAAAAGAACAAACTATGTTTTCTGAGAGACACGGTCTCACTCTGTCACCCAGGCTGTACTGCAGTGGCACAAACATGGCTGACTACAGCCTTGACCTCCTAGGCTCAAGTGATCCTCCTGCCTCAGCCTCCCAAACTGTTAGGATTACAGGTGTGAGCCACTGTACCCAGCCAAGGATATTTCTAATTTCTTTGTGCTTTCAGGAGAAAATACTTTTTTAAAAGGAAGTAGTGACAATGAGTCAGTCACAAAGTCCTAATTCAAAGGGTTTCCAAATCTCACACACGCAGAAGAATGAAAAAGCCAATACCTTAGAGAGTCTAGGAAATATATTAAGAAGTTTTATGAACACAATTACCACAAATCAGACCAATGTTAATAAATGATACCCAGTAGTCTTATTAGACTTATTAACACTGCTTTGATGCTAGAGACATCTATAGTTCAATATGCCAATGACCATAAAGACACATTATTACAAAAAATATGGAAATATTTAATTATTAAAATTTTGGTTAATTTTGATTTGTGTATTTTACCAACTTAAGCATATATGGCATATAAATATATGATCAAGATATCAAAGCTGATGTTTATGTTTCGTAAACATGATTTTCAAGCAAAGACCTAAAAACAGACTAAATATCCTGAAGTGGCTGCAAGATCTTGTCCAGTGCTCTCATCAATGCAGAAATTAAGAGCATGCATTAGTGACCAATAAAGGTAGAATAGCTAGCACCTGAGTGCCTATTACAAGATCTGGGGAAAACAGAGGACATCTCATTTAAATCTCAAAATCACTTTCCAAGATAGGCATTATTATTCCTACTTCATATACAATGAAACAGAATCACAAGGCAGAAAGTGCCAGAAATGGCATTCAAACTCCAGTCTAGTTCTAAAGCAAGAAATGTTTTCCATTATATCATCCAGATACTCAGATACACCCACAGCAAGTAAGATCTCTTTTCTATCAACTAGACACCACTGAGAAAAAAGGTTCATGTTTTAGCTCCAACCATGAGGTCTGGAACAAAAATACTTTCTCATAGTTCTTTAAACTGGCTACTTGTATTACCCTTTCTCACCTCCATCTCCCCATATGGTGGTATGACAAACGAAATTCAAATGCACAGGCTAAAAAATTTGGTGTCTTCCTAAAGAATTTATTTTACTCGGGCTGGGCGCAGTGGCTCACGCCTGTACTCCCAGCACTTTGGGAGGCCGAGGCAGGTGGATCACAAGGTCAAGAGATCGAGACCATCCTGGCCAACATGGTGAAACCCCGTCTCTACTAAAAATACAAAAAATCAGCTGGGCATGGTGGCACGTGCCTGTAATCCCAGCTACTCAGGAGGCTGAGGCAGGAGAATTGCCTGAACCCAGGAGGCGGAGGCTGCGGTGAGCCGAGATCGCGCCATTGCACTCCAGCCTGGGTAACGAGAGCGAAACTCCATCTCAAAAAAAAAAAAAAATTATTTTACTCAATAAATTATAGGGAAATAGGGAAATACTTTAATGAGAATAAATAGGCCGGCACAGTGGCTCATGTAATCCCAGCATTTTGGGAGTCCGAGGCAGGTGGATCACTTGTGGGTCAGGAGTTCAAGACCAGCCTGACCAACATGGTGAAACCCTGCCTCTACTAAAAATACAAAAAGTAGCCAGGAATAGTGGTGCATGCCTGTAATCCCAGCAACTCGGGAGGCTGTGGCATGAGAATCACTTGAACCCAGGAGGCAGAAGTTGCAGTGAGCTGAGATTGTGCCACTACACTCCAGCCTGGGTGACAGAGCAAGATTCTGTCTCAAAAAAAAATAAAAAATACAGTTTGTCTTTCTGAGAATGTAGGGTAACATTTTAAGCCTAGACATGAATGCTAAAGAATGTATTATACGGGTGGGGGTATTGGGGAGGGATAACATTAGGAGAAATACCTAATGTAGATGATGGGGGGATGGATGCAGCAAACCGCCATGGCA